GAAAGGTAGGGTGGTTAACTAGACTAAGTCCAGTTTGCTACCCTACACGTGGGAAGAGGGGAATGATGGAGTAAAATAGAGAGAGAGGAGGAGGAGGTGACAGGTCGTCAAATCAAATGCTACTCCTGACAAGTTTACGTAGAAGTAATTTTTCGGTTTCTTTAGAAAGCTATAATGGTTGATCACGTAACTTACGCGATCCAGCTAACGTATGCGAAGAGTGTGACAATGAGGCTATTGTAAATATACACCAACATTCAATGGCTACCCGTTTTATGTAACGACCCCAAAACGAAGAAACGCGCATGTTATGGTCGGGGCGTGACATATCAATATCAGCGGAAGTGCACCGGTCCTTCGATTACCTTGCATAATAGATCTGTTGTTTAAACATATCTATCACTTGTACCTCCACGTGTTTCTGATTGAGGGTTGGTGTGCTACCGTTCCTGAGCATGCACAGATTAGCTTTAGGAGCGAAGCTCCTTATGGTTTAGGGCAGTCCATCCCTCCGGCGTAGCCAGCACAGTATATCTGCAGACAGACAGACAGACAGACAGACAGACAGACAGACAGACAGACAGACAGACAGACAGACAGACAGACAGACAGACAGACAGACAGACAGACAGACAGACAGACAGACATATGGATGGGCAGGCAGACAGACAGACAGATGGACGGACGGACGGACGGACGGACAGATAGACAGACATTCAAACAGACAGACAGACAGACAGACAGACGGATGGACAGACATACAGACAGACAGACAGAGAGATGGTTGGATTGACGGACAGACAGAGAGATGGACGGATTGACGGACAGACAGACAGACAGACAGACAGACAGACAGACAGACAGACAGACAGACAGACAGACAGACAGACAGACAGACAGACAGACAAACGGACGGACGGGTGGGCGGAGGGATACTTCGGCCCACTTATCATCACTCGTCCCGTGGATATGCTGTATTTTTTTTGTGCACCTTCTTTTCCGACGCAAGGCAGCCTATGTAATGACAGTAGTCCTTTTTTCGTTGTCTTGTTCTCCGATTGTGTGTCGAATTTGGCATCTTTTACTTTCCTCTGTGGTAAATCACTGCCAACTATATAGCTATCCGCCTTGATGGTACAGTGGCCACAGTGCTCGTTTACTTACACGAAAATTAGATCCTGGCGGCAGCAATCGCATTTTTATGGAGGCGAAATGCCAAAGACCCGTGTATTGTGCTATGTGAGTGATCGTTCAATAACGCCATATGGTCTAAATTTTCGGATCCATCCACTGCGGCGCACCTCATGAGCATTTAGTGGCTCTGGGACGTTAAACCCCAGATATATATTATTAACAACTAGCTCAAGTGTCAGCTGTTACGCGGCTAGGTGTTCTTGCTCGTGGGCAGCTTTTTATTGCAGCTACATCACCAATGAAAGGGTGCTGAACTATGAGTTCGCCGAGCTTGTCTGATTGCGACGAAATAATCATCTTCGTCAGAACGTCCAGATGGAATCTTTACACTTGTTCCTTACCCACTCTATACTTCGAATGTTTTGGCGAAGGTTTCTCTGCGGAGTTGCTCTGTAATAATATTATGCGCGGCTTTACGTCCCGAAACGGCAATATGATTTGGAGAGATGGTCTTTAGTGGAGGGCTTCGGAATATTTGGTGATTTGTTGTTCTTTACCGCGAATTCACCGGTAATTTTTGCCATTTTTTCGTGAGAATAATGCACACTTTTGATAGTGCGTCAGGGTTGAAGAGGACAATCTTTTACACGAACGTGCGCATCTACTTTTTTTGATCATCAAATTCTTTTTTTTTCTATCGCTTCTGTCTATTGTTTTTCGTAATACGCGTTTTCTTTCACCGGTGTGTCGTGCTCGACGTCACCTGTATTAATTTTTTTCCTAGTTTTTAAGAGGCATGGCTCTGCTGAAACCGCTTCTGTTTCTGCATATTCAATAGTATTCATTTGTTCTGTGCATTCCTCTGTGTGAATTTAGGCATCATTAATTTCATTAACATCCACCATGCGGATTGGCAATGTTCAGAGTCTACGCACGCTTTGATGGCTCACGGGTGGATTGACTGAGCCTCTCCAAAGCAAGCCAGTTAGGATGTAACAGAGCAGGCAGAGGTGGGAAAGCACAACCTCGGCTACCATTAAAGAGTCACGTATCACGCCTTAGTTATGCGAAATCGAAAAACTATCATTCTTCTTGTCCCGTGAACCGAAATCTGCAGCCAGTACATTTCCACGTGGTGCTTGCGACACGTGCCGATGCCGGGAGCTCCGCATACGTACGAGGAAACATGTGCACACGCTGAACGTGCGGCTCAAGACGTGCGTGTTTAAGTAGCTAAAAATTTGCATGTACGGGCAAGGACCGAAAGTAGCCTTAAAATAGAGAGAGGAAAAAAAAAAGCATCGAACAATTGCAGAGTGTGACAACGCGTGTCAGGTATCTATTTATAAATTTGCCACGATAAATCAAATACTCGTTCCAATATTATTATTATTATTATTATTATTATTATTATTATTATTATTATATTATTATTATTATTATTATTATTATTATTATTATTATTATTATTGTCTTAAGCTATGGAGATGATACTGAATAATGCTCCATGTTAATGACGTTCACAGCGATATTTTTGAAATATTATAATTCCATTACTATGCTTCAGGGCAGGCTTTAAAAAAAAGTGTGTTGCAGCTTCACAACGCTTTTCGTCCCGTCACTATATCCAGCGTTTTAAGTGAATCCGTCCTCACTCACTGTGTACGTGATGTGTGACTATACGTGGTCGCACTACTAATGTTCCTTGCCCTCTTTCATTTTTTTTCTCTCGTCACATCCTGCGGCGCCGTACCACGCCCCCCTGCACTGCCCTCAACGCCACTTTCATCCTCCTTGTGAGGCATGGAAATACACAACGCGATGCAAATCACTTTCGTGTTCGCGAGTTGCCACGCAACCGGGTGCCAACGTGCAACCTGGTTTAGTAATGTGCGATTTGGGAAACACTGAATTACGGAATTGTATACGTATCGCTACCTCATCACGATGGAAGCATGCGATGATAGCGCGTGAAAGCTTTGGAGGTATATATAAATAATCTGAAATTCGTTGCGGAGAATCAAAAGTATATACGAAAAAAAAGTATTGAGATCTCCCTTTGCGATTTGCTTCTAACGTCGTCTAAAATTATTCAATTGTATTTAGTAACCATTATTTTATTTAGCGGCACGGTCCTCTCTCTCTGGGCGTTGATTACGGCCTATACTCTACACATGATTCATTTTTTCTTCCCTTGATGATTTTTTTAAACAATTTTCTAACCGACGCGTCTACACGTCGCATTGAATGAGCAAGCCTTTCAGCTAGCATTGAAGAAAGAGCAAGTTGAATTATGTGGAAATTTACGAAATCCAACAATATTGCGAATGTCATTTTTAGGGAACATCATTTGCAATCTTATCGCTCCTGCAACGCAAAAATAAAAGAAGAAGAAAGAAAAGAGAAAGGAGGGTACGGAAGGTGCCTCTGAGTCTTATTTTCGGCTCCAAACCTATCTGGTTGCCGGACTGTTCGTGCAGCATTTTCCTTCATTATTCGCGATTTGATTTTGTAGACCTAATTTCCATTGCGTGTTTTAAGATTCATACTGCACCAACTTAAAAAATCCTGCCAGCCCAGTTCATGGCCGACCCCCCTTTGTGGGTGAGCGTCCAAAGTGTGAGAGGATCCTCCTCCACCTCCTCGTCATCACAACCATCATCATCATCATCATCACCATCATCATCATCATCATCATCATCATCATCATCACCATCACCACCACCACCACCACCACCACCACCACCACCTGCCTGTATGGGTCCAATAACGTTGGCCTACTTTGCAGTACTACTTCAGTTAAGAGAGAGTTTTTTCTTTTAGGATTTAAGTATAACAGTCACTGTTACTTTACGATTAATGAAAGAAGTACATTAACTCTCTTCGTAACCTGAAAACAAATCGTAACTGCGAATAGCTATCGCAACTAACATTAAGGTACTGTAACAAAGGTCAACCGCAACCCATCCAGACTGGGAGGGAAAAAAAATAAACGAAAAAGAATGTACGGCTCATATTAATGTAAGCTCTGTAGTATAATTTTTGTTGACAAATATCTGGTGCCTGTTGTTTAGGAGTGTCCTTTGGCGTTGCGGTAAAATATTATACTCCTGTTGTGTACACACGAAGGCGAGCGCCAAATCGTGATCCCTTATAATTATCCATCTCGATTCACTGCGAAACAGCAGTAGAATGGAGTATTTGCACCGGGAGAGTGTACAGTCGTAGTCTTCACCTCTTGGATGCGGCTTCAGGTAAGGACACCGCACGAACCTCCTGTCATTGCTTGAATGAAGCCCCACGCTGGCGAGATGTAGTTCCCATACTTTTGTTTCACTTCGTTATAGATCGATGAACTTTTATATTATTAATATCAATTCCTTAGCTTTCATACACAAGGAATGCAAGGAATGCATACACAAGGAATGCAAATTGAATTAACACGTACGACCCACGGCTTAGGGATAGTCGTGGGTTTCATAAGAACAATAACCGTCGGTAAAAAAAATTCATACGTAAATTACTACTTATATATACAGCGCCCATGTGGTGCATTAGTGGTGGGTAGAGTGGTAAAGTAATAACATTAAAATATAAATACATAACAAGCAGCAGTTTGGTGAAATGCCATAAACACTAAAGTCTATTCACATAGAAATTCTCATTACGATTTAATTATTTTTTCCCGTTATGCGTGCGTACGAAATGTGTGCATCACGGTCGATCTCGGCTGCTCTTCATCGGGCTGTCTCAAATTTTATGACAAACATCGGCGAGAATAACGAGAGATAGAAAGAAAAAGCGAGTAATTAGACGCAAATCGAGGCAAACCGCGGATCGAGGTTCAACTCCGGGGTTCTTCTCACCTCGAGCTCCAGTGCGAGGTTGTCCGCCTCCATAGCACCGCTGAATCCGGTCGGCATCCTGACGGCGTTGTTAACGTGGTCACACGTCGCGTATTTGCCCGTTCGTTCAGGCGCGGCGTTGCGTCCCCCTCTTGCGCTGCCTTCGAGTATGCCGCTGCCGCCGAGTATGTTCGGTGCGAAAGTCGCGCGATCTCGCAATGCGAACGGCGAGGGCGAGTGTGCACGGGGGCAAAGTAAAATAAAAGGAGGCCGCGCGTCTACCTGCACCCTCCTCTTCCTCCAATTACCCTTTCCCACGCGACCAACTCTCACCAATCCCTTCCGTCGACGTCCGCAATGCGAGTATGTAACAAGCACTTGCCTTGCGGGGAAGAGGTGACTTCGTCCGTGCCCGTCTGCGCACAGTACCGCACTCTCTCCGATTTTCGTGCCTCCTTTCCTACGTCGTTGTACACGCGAGGAATGTTTCACTCGGAAGCGGTGTCCTCCAGTTCACTCTCTCTCTCGAAAAAAAAAAAAAAAAAAGCAGGCGCTTGACAACCTCTTATAGAGAGAATGAAAAGAAAAAACGCGGATGACGCCGGCACAAAACACACGTGCAGGCGGAACACGTCACCGGTGGCTCGGACGTCCAGGTATCGAGCACCAGTACACGTACGTATACCGGAGCTACCTTGAGATCCTGCATCGCTGGAAAGCACAAATGCAACCTCCCAATGATGACGTCGTTGAAAAGCGCCCTGTTATTTTCTCAAAGTCTGGGAAAGGATCATTTTTTTTTTTCTCGCCGGATGCGCCTCGGGTGATTTCTTGCTCCCTTGTTTTCGTTAACAGTCTGGCACCTTGAATGGATGGCGAAATCGAAGACGATGCGAGCGTATGATTAATTGCTCGTTATGGTCTTGATTCGCGGAATACAAGCGAACTCCACATATCCGTGCGGGATCGCACTACCTACCGTCGGCACGTTGTTACCATACTCTCACTGGTTACATAACCCTAATCCCTTCTGTTTTACAGATGGAGGATGCCCTGTATGACGCTTACGAACATTATGCTAACAGATTGGTAACAATTTTACGGATTCCAAGCTGTGGATTAGCTGCTGTCAGATTTTGAATACTAATTACGCGTTTGTCCGTGTGCCCTTGTGTAGAAAACCTGGGAGCATTATCTATCGCCACTGTTGGGTGAGCAGCTGTATACTTGCATCTAAACCCGGACCAACGATTGTTCGCTCGCGTAAAAGTGTAGTATTATATTTTGTATCTATTTGTGTTGCTTGCGATAACGCAAATGAGCAAATGAATACAAGGAGAACTTATGGTACGCAGCAGCAAAGTCCAGACGAACAGAAAGGGGGCTTATGAAGCGACCACTTACAAATGTGAATTCAATAAAGCAGCCGCTTGCGGAAACCGCACCAGACAGCGCGCCGGAACGAAAATATGTTACACCATAATAACGCTATTTAACCGTGACCAATGTGCGCAGGTACGTTTTACAAAGCGATAGGACAGCGTACAAAATCGCTAGGGCATCTTGCACGTCAGAATATTATACATCGGAACAAAAACAAATCGGATAACTTTACTATTATAACGGTGCGCTAAAAGTTGGCGCGGGACATCGCGCATGCTAATCGACGTGACAGGAAGTAACATTCACTCGATTATTCTTGATGGTCATCCAGACACCGTGGCCTGAGTTCAATAATTCAGACGATCCAAAAAAAAAAAAACGCAGTCTTTTGAACCACTGCACTCTTAAATAAACTCAAAGCATTTGTTCACTTCGCCAAAGTTTGACGGCGGCACGTTAAAGAACCCCAGGTGGTCGAAATTTCCGGAGCCCTCCACTACGGCGTCTCTCATAATCTTACGGTGGTTTTGTGGCGTTAAACACCACAAATCAATCAATCAATCAATCAATCAATCAATCAATCAATCAATCAATCAATCAATCAATCAATCAATCAATCAATTAATCAATCAAAATTTCACCGCGGTGAGATTACGGTGAGGCTACGAGAGAACTTGTGTACAGGCGATTGCTAGACACATGCAGCCACCGACATAAAGCCTTCGTTAAACCGAGCTGAAATAAAAACGGAACTGATCGAGTATTGCTTCATCGAATTCTCTGGAATGTTGCCTTTTTTACAGCCTTGCCTACGAAAGAAAGGTGAATGGAAGAAGGCTGAAGGTTGGGCAGGGATACTGAGAAAGGTATTCCGGAATACGCTTATGAAATACATGGGGTGTAAGACTATATATAAAATACAAATGCTGAGATACATTTCTTTTTCACTTTACAGGGCAACCCGAAGATGCTTTTTGCAGAACAAAAAAAAAAAAAGACGTTTCGGAATAAAGGTACAGGATACTGGATACTTTTCTTTGATTCCGGGTGGCTGATTCTTCGCAGTGACATTTCAGTGCAGCATAATATGAGAAATAATGTTATAGTGCATTGAAACTTGCAAGTAAAACATATCGATCAAATCATTAATGAACACCAGTGAATAAAGGTGAAGAATACAAAGGTGAAGTAACCGCCACTTGTCAAATAGGCTGCCTTTAGGAAAGCGCCACTTGGGCCTCAGCACGAGACTTGCGAACTAGAGAAGCCTACGACTGAAGGACGAGCACAACTTCGTGTTCTAACGAACAAGTATCGCCTCCATACCCAAAAAGTCTTGTAGCAAGGCGATGTACACAGTACTAGTTCTCAAAAACACCACTCTCAAGTGGGTCTCACTCAAAAGCGCTCTTCCACTGTCACACGCCACCCTTCCAGCGTTGCCAAACGGCGGAGTGCCTTTATTTGGCACACCACACACGCAAAAACAAGCTTTTCTTCTTTGGAAACAAGTCAGCTGGTTTCTGATAAAATGAAAGTAACTTAGATACCCGTGTCCTGCCCGGTATCGCGATATATTCTACTACATCGTAATAGTAATTACCTACTGAGATACAAGACCTTTTTTTGTTGTTGTTCAACTGTATCTCCTTAGCAAAAATACCGATACTCGAAAGTATCTCAACGTATACGCCTTTACTACCACGATACTCGTGTATCGTGACACTGATAAGCCCTGAAATATGGGTGGAAGGCATAGCTTAGCATGTATAGGCTGGTATCGCATACAATAAAGACGCAAATGTTACCGGAAGGAGCTATCCTGGAGCAAGAATAGTTCTTGGTGCATCGTATGACCACGTCGAACAAAGCAATGCTGAAGAAGGGCACTTTGAAACTAAATATTCGCTTAGAGTCCTGTGGACGCCTTCATATCACCCTTCTAGATTGTTGCCACGAGCGTGGTTACTCGAGCATGTGACAACAGTTGCTAGATCATATAGTATAGCTTCTTCAACGGTGGCTACATGATTGAGCGTCAGCTTTCAATCCGGTATGTACAGGGTTTCGATTTCCACTGCCACCCAGCAACCCACCGGTATTTCCTAGGGGGCGGAGGAGTACACCAACCTGGCGCTTGGCTGTTCGTAGTTATGGGGCGCTATAGCGTGCATAGAGGCACACTACGTGGTTACTCATCTTGTATGATGTCCCCGCAAACACGGACTGAACCCCGCTCCTTTCAAGATGTGTACGCTCGTTTCTCAAACCCACGCAAAAAAAAAAAAAGGAAAAGAAAACCTTCGGTGTAACGAATGGGCATTCCGGAGTGGAGTACCTGAAGGATTATTTCTACTATTCTCGCGGGCTCCCCCGCGCAAACACGAGGACCGGGCGGCGCCTTGTCGTCTACAGACCGTGTGACAGTGTACGGTGGAGATAATCCGCGCGAACCCTTCAGATTTGTGGCATGGGGGAGCAGCAGAGCACCTTTTGTTGGTTCGGGGAATGCGACGCTGCCGCAGCGCCTGTGCCGGGTCCAGTATGACTTTCCATGAACTCATGAACGCATAGCGCAGTGGGGTCGTGCGGGGACCCTGGGACGTAAGTGCCCAAATCCCTTGGTCTAATAAAGTTTTACCTCCTCCTCCTCGCGGGAGACACCGAGCTGCATGGAAACGTTGAGACTGATTGGTTTGGTGCCCCGGGAGGGCAGAGTCGGAACCCGAGAAAAGCGGCCACGTGTCAAGGAAGGGGAAAGGCGAGGAGAGTCTTTCCCAGGGGAGAAAAAGAAGCAGACGGCAACGGAAGGGGAGAGATCAGACCGCGATGGGAGTCAGAGAGACGATGCGATGAGCTCGAGATGGTAGAGAAGCTAAGATGGAAATCACTGAGAGGCACGACGTAGGCGACGATGACGAAGACGATGAATACGCTGACGAATTGGACAGATCAGACCTCGACGCCAAGAACCAACCTTCGGCCCCGATTCGAGCAGCCAACTCCGAGGCCCCAACTACATGGACATTCTGTGAGACGAATTTCACCTCCCTTACTTAAACGAGCTTTGCGGGAAGGGATGTGGCATATTGAGACATTGCGCGGTTTTATTAATTAATGACTTTATCATTTGTGTCGTCGTGTGTTTTTTTTTTGTATGCATACCCTTGTATGGTTGTTGTTACTTTCTTTATGTGCCTGCCCTGTGTCGAACGTCGCGAGTGTCTAGATCATGTGTTATAATTTTGTGTAGTGGTCGATGTACGCGGGTATACGATGTTTACAGTTAGTATTAAATTTAATGAATCAGTAAACAGAAACAGGTCGTAGCGTCTCTTACTTCCCGGCCCCAGCACGAATCCCTGTATGTGAGAAGTGATTGAGACACATAGCCAAGAGGGAGCCGGATAGACAAGGGGTTGAGTGGTCTTCCCTCTCTTCGGTAATCGGTGGCGTAGCGGGGGACGTCTCACTTGTAAGGTGGCCCCATCAGGTAATGTAAAGGCCCGCCCCACCGTGGTGGTCTCGTTTCTAAGGAACTTGGCTGCTGACCGGCAGCAAGTCGCGAGATCGAATCCCGGCTGCGGCGGCTGCATTTCCGGTGGAGGCAGAAACGCTGTAGGCCCGTGTGCTCAGATTTGGGTGCACGGTAAAGAACCCCAGGTGGTCGAAATTTCCGGAGCCCTCCACTACGGCGTCTCACATAATCATATCTAGGTTTTGGGACGTTAAACCACGCATATCAATCATGTAAAGGCCCGTGTGCGCACCTAAACTCACCACATCCTTGGTCAAATAGTCGCGCATTAGCCGCTGCTGTGGAAGGCAGAGAATTGCCGCTGC